TAGTTTTTATATCAGATGTTCCAGAGGATTAAGAACAGTTGACCGGAATCCGAATGATCGGTACTGATAAACCAGTTAGAATTGGCTAACTTTATTTCAGATTTAACTATACTCGTATCTATGCTCGAAATTGTAGCTGTATGTCTTCATAACATAATCGATGTAACCATAAGCTCATGGAATATTTCTAGTCTGTTTTAATTTGGAATAAAAGTGCTACAACTCTACTGCAAACCCTTTACATATTGTCCCTAAAATTTGCCACGTTTTKAATAGCCAGCAGGAGACGTCGTACAGATCAGCGTGACGAGCTGGTTTGATATCCGTCTGTCTGCATATAACTGAACCCGTCTCTCAGTTTTTAAGCTATCATTTTGAAATTTTGCATACGTTTTTTCTCCCTAACAAGCTCCACATTTGCAGAACCGATATCGGTCCATTTTAGCATTCAATGTTATACAAACTAAACGATCATTTCTCGGAATCGCCGATATCGGAACACTATAGCATAAAGCCATATAAGCTCACCGATGAAAATCAAATTTTGTGTAAAAAATCCTCTAATTTGACAAGAAAGCAGAAGAGGAATAGTAATATCTTCTATGGGACTGTAAGTCTCAGAATCGCAACTATCGCTGAAAGGTTACTTGACGGCGTCTCGGAGTATGCACATAAACTTTTTTATTGATGAAATTTATCAGAAGTAAAGGGTGCATCTGAGATGAGACAAGAGAATGAGTGTAGTTTAGTCCCGGTAGTATCACATTAAGCCTACGAGGTGTCTAGACGCTTCGGTTAACGGTTTGGAATATCAATGAAATTTTTTGTTCYTGTGATAGTTTGTGGCGTCATATTGTTGTCCAAGTCCATATCTTCCAATACGGGCCAAAACTATTCGATTATCTTTTAGCGGTAGTGATTCGCATTCACAGGAACCCATTCATAGTAACGTGCCGTTCTTGGTCATCACGGAAGAAGTACAGCCCAATGATGCCGYCGGCCCATAAAACGCACCAAACCGTAATTTTTTCTAGATGCAATAGTGACACAATTAGGTCAAAGTTATTACGGATTGCTGTCTGACCAATAGCGCATATTTTGCTTATTGCCGAAACCATTCACCCAGAAAAGAGCCTCATCGCTGAAGATGATTTTTCGATGAAAAATCGGATAATTTTCAAGTTATTGCTCAGCCCAATTTAAGAACCTACGACGATTATGTTGGTCAAGCGGCTTCAGTTCTTGAATAAGTTTGATTTTGTCAGGGTGTAGGCCAAGATATTTTCGCAAAATTCGCTGCAACGACGTCACAGAAATGCCTAACACTTGAGAACGAAGTGTGAAAGACTAATTTGGGTCTTCTTCAATTGATGGCCGTTGGCGGCAGCAATATTCTCGACACTACGGAAACTTTTTTGGCGGACTGGCATGGGAATATTTGATAGTGTGCCTGTGTACTCAAATTTTTACACTGACGCTCAAATTGTTGATCGTAAACTGGACGTAGTGCTCTTTAAGTTTGAGATCACTGACTCCGAATTTCGGTACTAAACTATAATAATTTCGACTCGTTGTTGGATCGTACTATATCTTTCCATGAGGAAATGTCAAACCTTACTGAAGAGAAATGTCAAAACTGTGGGAAAAGTAGGGCTTCGTTTGAGGTCTCTATCGGTCTACTTTTGTAGCGTCCTTATGAACCCTTTATTTTTAGGTTAAAGATACCGCCAAATAAGGGAAGCTGAGGTTTAGAAATATAGGGTTCAGCAAATCGAAAACCATAATTGTGTTTGATGAACCAAAAGAACTGCTGTACACTGCTACCAATATCCGCATGTTCACAAAAGGGTTAAATATTTCAATTTTTACCTATTACCTTTCTCTTATTTTTTTAGTATATACTTTTGCTTTGCTTATTCTTTAATTTATGTATTTTTTACATTCGCACTTCTTCGCATGAAACAACAGTTATTTGCTATTTGGAACATAGTTATATACAAACAACATATGGACGTACTTGGCGACCGAAATTTGTGATAACCTCAAGGCATGAAGAGAACATATAGAGAAATAAAAATAAAACGCATGAAGCTCTTCTGCTCATTAGCTAGCTTGAATGGCTATTTTATTTAAAATCAATTAAAAGTAGGAAATTTTTATTATAAATTTATATTTTTTCCATAAGCTACCAGCTGTTTATTTGCTTTATAGATACTTATGGATGGCGTCTTAAAATACAATGTTTTCTTAAACATTTTTAATTTTAGAATTACAATTATTTTTAATTTTTGTTTTTTTAATTAAAATTTTTTTTCAAATTTCTTTTATCAAATACTTTTTGTTATTCCTTATAGCGCCCGGTTTAGCATTTCCAATAAGTTATTGAATATACTTGCACCATATTTTGGTATTTTTTACTCAAATACCTTTGGGATCAGTATTCTCAAGGCGCAGTCAATACAAGATTAWTTTAAAACACACAAATTTTAAAATCAATACAGGAACTGGACTAACGGCAAGTTATACATAAATTAAATTTAAATTTAACAMATAAAACAGATAGAAACTGGCATACATTTAATCTGATCATAGCGTAAAGCCGCTATAGCCCCGACGGATTTGCTGAAGGTCATATTCGCTGAGCTCTCCAGCGGCACGCTCCTCTTTAGCTGGCAYTGGAATGACGAAATTGGGTAGGTCCATCCAAATGCTGGTTTGTAAAATAAACAGTTTCTCGAGTGCACGCTTCGATGTCGAAGGATTAACATTATAATCGGCATAGTCATGTACGATATCATCACCATATTCACTTTCGTAGTTACCATTATCATTGTAATTGAATGAAACACCCTCGTCATATAGTAGATCTTGTGGTATGGGACAAAAACCGAATCGTTCCTTCAACATCTCTTCATTTTCAGCCATATGTGGTGGCTCGTCTGAGTATTCGTCGTCAGATTGTGGCGATATATGCATGTAGCCGTGCAGTGGTGGTAATTGATCGTCGTCAGTTATCACATTGAGTTCATTTAATCCCGAATTRTTTTCTGCATTTTGCATTCTCCGATTGAACGTGGAGATGGCTGTAAACTCGTCGTTGTCATATCGGTCATCCGAGTCGCTGCTATTATTGTTGGATTCATCATCGGACGCGCACTTGTAARCCCATGGATTGCCTTGTGTTTCGGTTTCCCAGGGTGTTTCGTTTTCCCAGGGTCTTATAATATTTCTCAATCTCGGGTTTTCGGGCATATCGTAGTGAGTGTTGCGTCTCGTTCCTGCAATAGTGGCTGTGAGTCGTTGGAGCATGATGCCGCTGCTCATGCGTTGTCTTGAACGTGGCGGCGAAGCTGTATTGGGCGATATCGAGTCCGGCATGCCAAAGTGGTTCCTTCTCATTCTCGCACGCCACGCAAAAAATWGCAAATAATTTGTCCTATGCTTTTGATTATTTACTTTACTTTAGTCGCAGCYGCGACTTGTCCTCCAATTGCATTCGTCTTAAATAATTAGTCTAATTTTCCGTGTTTTAATTTCGGCACGTTGAATTATTTTATACACCTTTCTTAGTTAAATGTTATGCCTGCATGCATGTTCATACAATATTCTACAGCTTTCTTCTACACCTTTTCGTACTGGTCAACAGTTATTGTAATTGCTCTTTTGCAATGTCATGGACTATGCCCAGTAGTGCATTTAAGCGAGCGCTATCTCGCTAAGAAAAACAGCGAATTAGCTTTAAGCAGAAAGTGTTCCATTAAATGAAAAATAGCGTATAAAGAACACCTGAATTCGAATTTGTAAAATTTTTGTAAAATAATTTTCACTAGTCAAGAAAAATTATCTTTGTTCATAATTACGACTTTTACTCCGAGATAAATAGACAGTGATCAATTTCAAAGTTCCCTTCATTTTTAAATGAAGAAACGCAGAAAATTCATATTTAATGGATAATGTTTATTATCGTGCGAATAAACAGTCTTTGACATTAATTTTTTAAAAATTTTCTCTTTCAAATGCTGTCCGCGGATATGTGTCAGATGGACCATTCGTCGAATGGACCAATTTTCGATGACTTGTTTGAGTAATTCGACTGGTAACAGGCGAATGACACGCGTGATGTCTTACCACAAAGCCTGAATCGAAGCGGGATAAATCCATTGAATGATGAAGGTGCGGGAAAATGTCGTCAAGATTACATGCTTCAATTTCTTGCATCAAATAGTTGGTTATCTYAGCGTTATAACGGTCGTCATTGACGCTTACACTCTCAATGGCATTATTTTCATGCATTATTTTCGAAAAAATATGGACCAATGATTTCACCGATCCACAAACTGCACCGAACCGTTGTTTTTCCTTGATGAAATGGCATCTTTCGAATGTATTCTAGAGGCTCTTCGTTCCAAACGCTTCAAATTTGCTTGCTTACACACCCATAGAATCAGAAATTGGTCTCATCTCTGAAATAATTTTTGCTCAAAGACAACGGATATTCTTGGAGCTTTTCAAGAGCCCATATAGCGAAACGATGTTGCTTGGGAAGGTCGAGCGGCTTCAGTTCTAGCTCAGTAGTATTTTATACACCAAATTCTTCTATACGTTAGTCTAAGTTGCTGTGAACAGCGCCGAATCGAATGTACGGTGTACATTCTCAGCTCCGGCTGCTATTTTTTCTTCACTGCGTGCATAGCATGGTTTATTCGGTCGCATATTATGCAATAATGAATMCTRAGCCTCAWGATGTGTGATGGTGTTGCGAATATAACGCTCAGTAAGCTGRTTATGTTGACCATACGTTGAGCAATGCACTTGAAACATATTCGTAACAGAATGGGATTTGTGAACGTCATTCAGGGGTGGTCTTTTCGTAATGAAATGTGAAACCATACTGAACAAAAATAACATAACAGCTTGACAAGAGTCACGAGTGATCTATTGAAAAAAGTATCTCTACTTGGATCACTCGTTGCTGTTTTGTTATGTTATGCTTCTTGGAAAATATCGAATTATATTATGATAAAATTTCAATAATAGGCGAACTATCTACGGAGAATTCAATAGTTTAGAAAAGTTTAACTCTCAAAGGCATATTTGGGAAATAAAAGCTTTAATCATTTCGTAATCCGAAACTTCAACTGATATACATATACAGTAGTGTAGCAATATTAATGGGTTTTCTTTGTGATATACTCATCCTTTAATTGTTATACCCTTAACAGGGTATATTAAGCTTTCCACACTGTTTGTAACACCAAACCTAATGTAGAAKACCCTATAAAATATASTTATATTTAAATGATCAGTGTGACTAGCTGAGTCGATTYAGCTATGTCCGTATGTYTRTTTGTATATACAYGAACTAGTYCTTCAGTTGCTAAGTTATCGATTTGAAATTTTGCATGCGTTCCTTTCKCACCAAGAAGCTTCTTATTTATCGCTAGAACATAGAGAGATCGGAATAAAGTGAGTCTATAGAAAACTTTTTCATTTGACAATATATCTTTATGAGATTGGGCACGGATTACCTAATGAAATAATGCAATAACTGAAGCAAATGTTGAGGTGGAAAAACTATAGCATCTTTGTCTTATTAGAAACTGAACGATGGTAATCAAGTTCTTGTAAGGAGTCTTTTATACTTATGAAGGTGCTGCAAGGCAACCGAAAGTAACATTTTCTCTTGTTTTTTTTTAGTTAAGTAAAAACTAGCGAACATTTTTTCATTTTAATCGCGCTACCTTTAGATTATTATAATATTATTTCAGTTAATACAAGATATGCAGTACTAATGTATTAAAATTTGCACTAACTTCACTTATTCAGGCTTTCCGTGGCCTTGAATGAAATTGAGGGTACTTGATAGTTCGGATATTGATAGCTATAAACCCCATATCGGAAAATCCCATGGAAACATTAGTCAGCGATGGCACTTCAGGGATTTGGGGATTAGATTTTCCAATCGCATGCCAAATTAACCTCAATTCTTGCTTGCATAATCAAATTACATAACGTTGAATATGGCAAAAAGTGTGTTAAATTGCTTGAATTATACACACATTAGCTTCTGCTGCATAAAGTTCAAACATTTGTCTATGAATATGCGATAGAATTTATGCCGCGCAAACATGCAATGCGCGGCTCTCGCCAGCCCCCCGCAAACCACGCTGTAAACTCAGTGAGCGTRAGCGGTTGCTGACGCTGCGCCGCCGAGCAATTGTGCGAAATTTTCATTATTCATTTGCTATTMTGAAACTTGCTGAGCTTTGCTTTCTTGCACTTGTCGCTATTGTTATTGTTGTTGCTAGCATTATTGTTGTTGTGCGAATGTAGCTAATCATAAATATTTACTTAACATCATTAAATTTAATTGACTTGTTGCACGCGCGCACCCCATCGCTGTGGCGTTCTGGGTGGCCAATGGCTAACGGTAGATTGCTGAGCGCCAAGCGCCGAGCGGAAACCGTTGAGGGAAACAAAAGCGCCAAGGATAATTTAGCACATACACAATAATTGTTGCAGATTTCTGTGTAATAAGAGGCGATTGCGCGCGGCAGCGCAACACGAAATCCGGCAACGACAGCATTAGTGTTAATGTGAAACGAAATAATCTTAAATTACGACGAAACTAATCGCATGTATCCGGTAAATAATATAACGCCACAAGACTAATGTAAACACACACTTACAACTACCTATAGGCAACGGTGTGTGTGATGGAATTAGCACGAAATCAAAGCAACATGCAACATGGTGTGTGAGGCGCTCGTTTACATCGCCGCTTTTGGGGTTACCAGATGCGCGGGATTTAATTAAACGTAATATGGGTCACGTTAGCACACGCACACACCCACATGTGTAAACACTTATACTCGAGCACATTTAAGCCGCTGTAACAACGTGTGAAACATGCCACAAATTAAATTAAATGTCCGCTTAAAATTTTTGCGTAAAATGGCGCTAAAGTCGTCGAAGGGTTTTYGGTGATATTTTCAAGTGGCGGCTAGTCGATGCAATGAGGGGCAATTATGTGCTTGCTTCCTCGCTTCAGTCAATGTTCGTTCATGCTTGTAGCACTTTGCWTATATAATATAACAAGCCTTTGATATAACTTGATATACTTGTTGACAGCTCACTGTTTTATATACATCTAATAGATATGATATAGTATCTAAGTGCCGCAGGCTACAGTGGTACTGTTTCAAACAGATTTTAGGAAAATCTAAAAAAACACAATCAGAAAACTAAACCGCGCCAAGTGACTGCCGAATTCGGGTTTATTACAAGATTAAGCACTACCACCAATTTTAAGAGAATAGATCAAATTTATTGTCCCGATAGCCTGTCTCTTTTTTTCTTACGATTTCAAAGCAATCTTGGAGTAAATGTATCTTTGGCCACAGAAGCGACAGAAATCCGTAAAGCAGTACCCTAACCTGTGAAGCTGAAACCGTAACCTGCAGTGATCTGTAGAAATYCACAAGTTGTCTTAAATTGTTTCTGAGCAGAATGGTTAGTTTCTTCAACCGATTTGCAGTGAACTCTTTCAGAAATAGCGTTATCTATCRAAACTCAGGCACTAAACGTTTTCTAATGATATTTTTCATTTTCTGTTGCTTCTCTTTTTACGTGTGGGGGCCAAACCGAAGCACTATTCCGGTTCAATTGGACTGGTTGCTGCAGCATCTTTTACGTGGCTCATCTTTTTTGGCATCTATTTGTTTGTGGAACCACACTAGACTCTACTAGAGTTGTTTTTTTTCGGGATGAACCYTGCTAAATATTCTTATGAGCTTCAGTTGGGGTCAACGGACGAGAGTGCTTGAACTTGAGAATGACAATTCGTTCCCTATAGTAGTTACTCTCTAGAATAATATCTGCATGTCTGCTAATGGCAGATGACCATCCGCCGTTTTCGAGCGGTTGTGTAGTGCTCGCTACGGTCTATGGACTCTTGAAAAGTTCCAAGAAGATCTAACGTTTTCGACCCAATTATATTCATTTCTGGCTCAATGGATATGTAAGCAAGCACAATTGCTATATTTGAGACCAAGAGAACTTGAAGAGCTTCAAGAGCTGCCATTCCATCCATAGAAAAACAAAGGTTTGGTATAGTTTTTGGACCGGTGCAATAGTCAGTACATATTTCTTAAAAAATAATGCAGGTTAGAATACAACCGTCACTGACAACTGTTATCGCGTCAAGACAACCGGCAATATKATGCCTGAAATGGAAGCTCGCGATCTCGTGGACATTTGGTTTCAATAGGATTTATTAAGAAAACATTTCGGTAAACAGATAACTTCATGCTTTGGGCCACTCGATTGGCCACCAAGATGATGTGATATCACCCGTTAGACTTTTTTCTTCTTTAACGTGCCTAGTATCAGAGTCATCCTTCGAGGAGCTCTCGAAAAGATTTATTTTGTTAAAAGTGTCAATACACAAACTTTTGGACTCACGAATAGTTTGTCAAATATATTATGGAGAGGCAAACTAATATTTCCACTTTTCTTACGCCCAGAAAGAATATCAAAAGTTTAAACCAAAATTCCGAAATTGCTGCATTTGTAACCACAGTGCTACACGCTAATGTTWACTCTTAAAATTTTCGTATACCAAAA